CCGCCCAGAGCTTTTTTTTTGGTGCGGGGGGTTCTGTTGCAAGTGGTCTATTATCACTGGGTGCCTTAATGTGAAGTCAACAACAACAACAACAACTGCTGTTGGAAGGCTCTAGGCAGCAGGGGCACGACGGACCGCTGTTGCATTTGCTGTGAAAGAAACGCTGACTAACCCATGGGACAGCCAGANTGCCTTAATGTGAAGTCAACAACAACAACAACAACTGCTGTTGGAAGGCTCTAGGCAGCAGGGGCACGACGGACCGCTGTTGCATTTGCTGTGAAAGAAACGCTGACTAACCCATGGGACAGCCAGACCTCATGTGTACACCCTCGACGGCAGCGCGACTGCTAACATCAACAGACCAGGCGTTCGCTGTTGTGGCTGGGCTTGTGGCGCGCATCGTCATGTGCAAGCGATCGTCATGAATTTCGGGGAATTGCCGATCATAGACTACCTCTTGACCAATAACTACGATACTCATGCGTGAGGTGATATTCGAAANTACACCCTCGACGGCAGCGCGACTGCTAACATCAACAGACCAGGCGTTCGCTGTTGTGGCTAGGCTTGTGGCGCGCATCGTCATGTGCAAGCGATCGTCATGAATTTCGGGGAATTGCCGATCATAGACTACCTCTTGACCAATAACTACGATACTCATGCGTGAGGTGATATTCGAAAGGATCTTGTGCACACAACCCTAACAAGTCACTCACGCACCTCTGCTGCAGTCAATGGAGCGCTGGCTGGCCGTGTGACGGCGCCGTCGCGGGTTGAACATTGCAGCAGAGAAAAGCAAAAACAGCCTGTACTCGAAATCCTGGAACCACGCAACGGACCTAAATGCAGTTGGGTTATGGGTTATCCGATGGGGTGAACCAAAATTGACAAGGAATAGGGATGTGAGTATCGCCTATGTGTGGGCAATCCATAGATGATGTGCACGATTTGGGGTCAGCACTACAGCGAGAGTTGTAGCAGAATAACCCAAAACTCTGCGCGGAGAGACTGATTCCGGATATGATTCCAGGATTTGCTGTTGTTGTTGTCTTCACATTAAACCGTATGTCAGTTGCCAAATGCCAAATATAAAGACTCTCAGCCCGTGGTCACGAAAGTGCTAGACCCATCTGAGGATCTAAAGAACACGCACACATATAAATGTGAGGGCCCTAAATGTGATGTATGCATTAAAAAAAAACGGAATTTTTCCATAGGCGCCAACCGTCTGATAGAGCTAATGAGAAACAACAACAACAACGGCACAGTCACCGCGATCACGATATCACGATATATTTTGATTCCTCCGCATACCCTCGCATCTCATTCAGCCGGCTACAGCCCGCGAGCTCCATCACGTGCACTGCGCACGACGACAGTACAAGAGCTCCCCCGCAGCCTGGGTGTGAAACTACCAAAGTGATATCACCACGGCACTGCTGCGCGTAGGGAGCGATGCCACCTCAGCTGGGTTCTCATTGGTACGGATCTGTAGGCGATCCCGCGAAGGCAGCAGCGACGCCGCCAGCGGAAGGTGGAGAGCACCCGTTTTTTCATGAGGGCGACGACGGAAAGCCGCGGCGAGGCTTGGCGAAGGTCGGGCTGGCGCTTGCGCTCGCGCTAGGGGTAGCCGCCACCAGCCGCGCAGGGGTGCACACCGCGGCAGCAACCCGCAGCAGCAGCAGCAGCAGCACGCTGCAGAGCTCTGTGGACAACAAGGGGAGAGAAACGAGTCACCGGCCTGGACTGGCGACGACGGCACCGCCACCTCTCGCGTTCCATGCCCGAAACTTTTACCACGTGAGGGACGGCAAGCCGGCCTCGGACTACCCCTGGCTGCGGGATGTCAAGCTCGTCGAGCCCCACCGCGAGACCACCCTCTCTGTCGACGACCCTCGCGAGGGCTTCGAGTACCGCTGGCTGATCCGCGGCGGCAGCAGCGCCTCCAAGGTTCACACGGCGGCGAGCGGGGCGGAGGCCGTCGTCGTGCTAGAGGCGAAGCACCTGGAGGAGAACCTAGTGACGCTGGAGGAGGTGGAGATCGCGACGGGAGCGGTCGCCCGGAGGCTGGACGAGTTCGTCATGGTGAAGTACGTGCGAAGGGAAATCAGGACCCTCACGTACGAGGAGCGAGAGGAGCTGCTTGACGCGGTGAGCGAGCTAGCGCGATGTGCTCCGAGCACACCTTGGAGTGGAGTTAGGGTCCCGTGTCCTGCTGGCGCGTGAGGACGTGTGCCGCCAGGTCTCCCGCTTGCGCAGCAGGCTGAGTGAGGCGTGTTGGCTGTCGACTCAAAGGGAGGCGTGGCAGCAAAAGGTAGATTCCCGTCGTGCTCTCTGTTCCAGCCCCCGAATCGAGAAGGTGCAGGAAATTAGGGCAAGGCTTACTTTTTCGCGCATCATGAGGTTGGAAAACGCTGACTATATTGAACCGCTTACCGTACTATACAGATGCTCGAGTTGTGGAACGTACGAGTGCAGGACGGCGATGGAAGGGAAAAATACGGAGAGAACTACTCGGACATCTGGGCGATCAATCGCCTGCATTTCAAGGCCGCGAGCCCTCAGTTTTGCGATCACGTGAGTTAGTCGGTGGAACCGTCATTTAGTTATGTTGACATGAGTGCTGATCCAGGTTCAGAAAAGGCACGCACATTCGTCCGTATATTCGCACAGCAGTACTTGTAGGTGTCCCGATTAGTGCCTTTTTTTTTTTTTTTGTCTCCCATCATTGGACTCTGTCGTCTGCCCCTCTGGCCCCTATCCTCCACTTCTACCAGCTAGACGGCCCAACCGGGGTCACATAGGAGGGGGGGGGTTGGACCCCCTCCTGCGGTTCCTGCCTGAGATATTTTTATCGCGAGGAGGGTACAGCGATCCCTTCCCTCGCGACTTATGAAGTCGATCAAGTTTACTAACAACTAGCTTTGCAGCGCGTCGCTTCCAACGGAGACCAGGATTTACTTGACGAGAAAAAACTCACCCTGTCGGGACTCATGTCCAGGCGATTTGACCGGCACTATGCCGGGCACCGGCACTATTCAGAAATGTGCCTGAATAGTGCCAAACCGGCACTAGTAGTGCCGGCTTGGAACTATTCAGGACTCTGTTCGACTTCAGAGTGCAGCGCTTGCGCTTTGCGGGGCTGACAGAGTACCAAACGAACGGCATTTGGATCAATCGTGAGGTGGGCGACGTGGGCGGGCTTCATTAAGTTTCGTGAGTCTCTTAGACTGTCGAAAACACGGCATTGGTCACATTAAAATTAACTTGATTGACCAGATAGATTTGTTGCACAGCAGTTGTTCTCTTCCCACCTCAGTGCAAGCACTCGCTAGTGAAACGTTGCTGCTGCCTTTCAAACGTATACCGTGCTGCCCGATAAAAGTTCACCTCGCCATCAAATTATCATGTGTCATATTGCAAGAAGGCCGTAGCACTATTCAGGCAACCTCGAAGGCACCCCTCGACAGCGAAGAAAGAAAGACGCTCATGCATGCACCCGATATACATTTTGATGTATAACATGGATGGATGTAGTGCTCCATACATGGAGCACACAAAAGCAGATGCAACCTAAAAAATGGTGAAGAAGATAACGAACTCCCCTATTCCTTCGAAAAAAACTAGAGGGAAGACCAAGCCATCAGAAGCAAGAAAAACGACTGGCTCACCAAAAGACGTCAATCTCAGTGCGGTCAAAAACAGAAAATGTTTGTTTCTCAAGGCCGTGAGAGGGTGTCATGGAGGAGGCTGAGCTATTCTCTGGATAAAAGACAGAAACGGTAGCAACTGAGGGGAGAACTACGTGACTGCCAAGGCTTACTACTTTGAACACGCGTTCGTTTCGGAGTGTTTTCATCCTTCCTTAGTATTTTTTTTACCACCACTACTACACTCTTCACTTATATTTTTCCACTATTTCTCGGGCTTTCATCTCTAGATTCTGCGCCCCTGCGGCGTTTGTTGTGAGGAAGGTCATCTCGCTCGAAACTCTTGTTGTTCCCCTCAACGCCATATTTTCCTCCTGCATCATCACTACTATCTTTTACATATCCTTCTTCACTACCACCATCTTCCTTTACGCTCGCCTCACTACTGAAATCTCAACCTATTGGTGGAAGTAGCCGATCGGTAAACCGTGACATTTGAAGAGGTCACGCGTACCCGAGAGAAATCGAGCTATGCTTGTAGGCCGAAAGGAAACCGTCTCCGAATCCTGTTGGCGTGGAAGGCATGAGGCGAAAAAAAGCTGTGTGGGGGGTGTGAACCGGCACTATTGAAGGGTCCGATAGTGCCTGAACCTACAGCGGGCAGCCCTCAATAGTGCCGGTTTGGTACTATTCAGGCCTGTGTCTGTGTGAACAAAATCTACAGGCACTATACCGGACTTAACACTATTTAACCGGCAGTGTATCGGGACATCTACTGTATTTTGACATCGAATACGACACTCCGTTCGGGAAACTGCTGCAGTCACCCCCCGATCGTTTGGCCGCATCGAGATTTTTCCTCTGATGGGTCTGCGCTATGTTCGCACGCGTGCCACATGAAGGTAGACATCCATGTTCTTGTAATGTCGCGGTGTGTTGCGCTGGTCACAAGAGGTACTGCAAGACCCCCGTGCCCCATCCTCAGCAACCTTCGCATTCGCGTTGTTTTTATCTCAAGTAAACATGGTGGATAGTGAATGCAACCGGGGACATTGGGTCCTGTTTCCAACCCTTCTCTCGGTCTCTTCGTCTGGTCTTATTGCGGAACAACGAACAGTTCCACGACGGGCTAGGCTTCTTGACCAACCACGGCCTCGTCTCCAACACGTTCGAGAACAGCCTGCAGCAGGTCAACCCCAAGCTGACCCTCCCCTACTGGGACTTCACCATCGAGTCTTCCACCGCTGGCATCGCCGCCAACGAGCACTTGGACGACATGTTTGGCTCCAAGATAAAAACTCCCTTACTCCAGGAGTCTTGGTTCGGCACAGCAGACCCTACCACCAGAATGGTAGGATTCTTAGGCGGCAGGGGTCAGGAAAGAGAATTGCTGCTGTGCTTCGTTTTTTTTCCCTTCGGGTGCTCTTGCTCACGCCCCGCTCCCGCGATGAGGCTGAGGGGGAGTGGTACCATATACGGTTGCTTTTTGGGAGGTTGTTGGGTTGAGCGTACCAGCCACTTGCTGCTCTGATTACCGAGACGCGATTTTTTTTCTTAAGGTAGACATTATCTCACAGAAAGACTTCCCGTTCGAGACAAACCCCAGTTGAAAGGGATGTGTTGAAACACTTGTTCGTGCAGCCATGACGGCGTTTCATCTCAAACTCACGCAATTCCCAGACATTTGGCCGTCGAAAACTGACGCCGCCCCCCTATTACTCCTCGATCGCCATGAACCGTGTGCGATGCATGCTTTGTCGCGTCTCATTTTGCGTCCGCGACACCGGAACCTGACCGCCAGGTACAAAACGGCCGATGGGCGAACGTTCCAATCCCGAAAATGAGGGAGGGTAACCCAAGCAAGATTGAGCCGGACGTGTACAGCAAGCTCAGGTCGCCCTGGAACGTCAACGACAGGCGGTAAGGGCCCACTCTTTTCTTGTATCGTTGCAAGCAAGCTAGGTTTGTGCACGAACCGATCGTCAGAGGTGATCGTAGCCAAGAACGGAGCGCGAGCACGAGAGGTGAATCGGGTACAGGTGGAGAAAGCAGATGGGACGCACCATTGAGGGGGGGTAGGGGTTCAAGCTTGAGGCCATCCGCATCTTTGCAACTGCGCCAAATAGAGGTGGATGAGGAGCCTCTTGTTGTGTCTTGCACACGCCTATCGGCACATTCTTCGTTGGATCTTGAGGCTATTCCGTCGCTGCTGTCATCATCCACCGCCGCATCTCTGAACCCGCCCACGCCACCCCCGAGCTCTCACCTGTTTCCCCGCCCACGAAACGAAAACCACACGTCACGCAACCACCTTTCGCGTAGTAATCTTGACCCTTGTTGTTTTGTCGCTGCTTGCAGGTACATATCGAGGGGGATGGGGCAGATGTGCCATGCGCGTGCAGAAACCTTCTATCCTTGGCCCACCTGTGAATCCCACTACAACCTAGCCACCTCCTTCACCGACTTCTACTCTTGGGTGTGGGAGAGCCTGTGAGTCGATGCAACCATGCTCATGAAACGACCGACGCTGAACAATTTTGTGCCTGTAACTGCTGTCACGTTCAATCGGATTAGTGTCATGTTAAGGGATCTAGCGGTCAACTGGGCGCGGCAAGTGGGACACACGCAAGGGTAGGATCATTCTTAAGGTCTCGTGGTGCCTACGGCTACCGCGTCGAATCATTCTTGGTCACGACATTGATGATGATGATGTTCCGGTGCTATATTTTTACCGGAGGACACCCGCCTCATTTGCTCTTAGGTACGACCCTCACGGGCCGGTGCACATCTGGATCGGTGGCGTGATGGACTGCGAGGAGACCTACGGCGTCGACATCGAACACCTTGTCGGCGAGGAAACCGCTCTCGATCTTGCCTTGATGGCGTTCGTGCACCGCAAGGACATGTTCCGCGACGGCATCTTCTCGTGCGAGGGCAGCGTCGCGGTGACGGAATCCCCCGACGAAGTCTTGGAGTCCGGAGTGTGCGGCTGCCACGGGTACGACCTTACTCAGGGGGACGACTACCTCCAGATATTCGAGTCGATGGTGTTCATGAAGGAGCTCATGGGCGACTCGGACGAGAACACCAAGCGGGAGCTTGTGCGGGTGATGTGCAGCACCCCGATCAACGAGGGAGACCACTTGCAGGTCAGCTCTTGGACGATGACGCCGAGTAGCGCTCCGGCAGTACGCTGTGTTCCCTGTCTCAGTCGTTTTACATGTTACACCTAACGCTGACTTATGTATCACGATTAAGCCCGGACGCTCCAGAAGTGCCTAAGCAAACTGTACTTGTCCTGCCTGTGAATCTGTCTGCGGCCGATGACACGCCGTCAGGATGAAGATAAGTGTTGCATTGTATTCCACAAACCCATTTCCCGAACGACCGGTCTTGCTCCCCTACAGTCGAGCTCGTCGCTGGACCCGTCCTTCTGGTCGACGCACCCGACGATGGAGCGGCTGTGGATGTACTCGGTGCTGACGGGGCAAGTGACGGACTTCGAGTGGCCGGACGCCGACGTGACCTACACGGCCTCAGACGGCACGACCTACTCGCAGCCGATCAGCAAGTACTCGGAGGAGTGCCTCGGCCACCGCGGGAGCGACGTCTTCCCGTTCGACATCCTCGCCAACGAAGTGAACGACTTCACGGTGCAGACGGGCATCAAGGGGAGCCCGCTGGGAGGGGGCAACACCATGACCAACCGGGAGGTCCTGGCGGCCTTCGACCCCCGGATCAACGCCCTGCCGTACGTGTACGACACCTTCGAGTGGGCCCACTGCGCGGAGGACGGGTTCGACTTGCGCGACGCGTGGCTCGCGAAGGGGGACGAGGAAGCGAGTAGGGGGGAGGGCCCGGGGGGCCAAGCGATGAGCGCCAAAAAGGGGCCTCGTGCGGTCTCCCGCCAGTCTATCGGCGGGGGTACTGTGTTCGAGAAGGACGACTTGCCGTTCCCAATGTACGGCACCCTGAAGGACAAAATGGCCCACCTGAAAGCGAGAAAAGAGAGTCCAGCCGGACGATAATGGAGAGTGCAAAGGTTCAGAGGGGAGATCTAGAGTAATCGGCCTTGTGTTTAAGGTCGAGGGAATGAGAACATTCTTGTCGGGGGGCTCCGTAGCGAGCGAGTTTGTTGTAGACCGTGTGTGTCGATGTTGACACAAGACAAGACCTTTGTGACATTTTGGGGGGGGGGCGGGCGTACTGGTTGATTGTTGAAAATGGTGGAAGATTGTTGTTCGTAGTTCGGTGTTGGTTGTTATGTACTTTTGCATCAGGGTTGGTGTTTTGTGTGCTCCACAGCAGTAGAGTGGCGTTCGCCATGAACGGGGCAATGGAGACACCAAACCGAGGCGTCTTGATTTTCTGGGCGTATTTTCCTTTTTTGTGATGTGGTTTTCGTAGCTCATCCGACCAGGTGCTTGCGTTGTGGGGCAGCGTGAATTCACACCTGTGTACATGAATGTTTTTGTTTCGGAAGGGGTAATTGTGGCGTATTCCTCCTTCAAAAGTAGCACGTTGTTCGCTCGCTATAATTTTTGTCTAGGTTAACTCGCCTGACATCTTTTGGGGAAGAACGAGCTCTCGTTGTCTTGTTCATCGTCCAAAGTTCTCGCTCTCTTCGTGTTGTGTCATGTACAGAAGTACAAACAACAATGGACAGGTTAAACAACCATTCTGTGCATGGTTGCTGAGGGACGTAAGGTTTCTTGATTCCTTGCTGTCGCCTTATCGCTCCTCTTCTGTACCAGAGCGATAGGTAAATGGGTGCCTCGTGGGAGGCTGCGTTGGCCAAGCAGCAGCGAGGTTTAGCGCGAATCGACTGCAGCCCGTACGAGCATGTGTGTCATGCCTCGAGGGTTGATTGCATTGTTTTTGTGCTTGGTGTACGACTTGCTCAATTTCCTCTATTTCGATGCGGTTCCTGAAATTTGGGAACCTTTCGAGGTTGAATGCTTTGATTTCGACTTGTGGTGAGGGTGGGTGTGGTGTTTGCTGTGCTGTTTCGATGCGGGAGACCTGACTCAAGGTTGGTGATCCAATTCATCGCCGGCATTTTTCTTCGTCTGATATTGTTGCGCGTGTTGCAAAAAGGGGCTCGGAGCAGCAGTGCTGACTTCATTTTGTTTTATTTGCATGTGATTTGAATGATGTGCAGTGCCGTTATGTAGTTCATTGTGTGTATTGGTTCCTTCGGCAGGGAATACCTCAACATGTTGCGAAAGCTGATTTTCTACGTCGTCCATAGTGATGCACACGGGGAGGTTTCCTGTTGGTTCCTCGCGCTTTAGCCTTGGATATGCATACCTCCCCGTTGAAACTAAAACCACCGATCACTACTGAATGAGCCGATTCAATCGCCGCCAAGCATGGCGTCTTGCAAGCACGGTTATCAGATTGGGCGAATGGAATTGATTCTACTACGAGCAACGCTCAGTTTTCCAAAGCATACACTTGCTTCTGCTACCAGTGGTGTTATTTTTTTCTCCTGAGCGTACACACACCAAGAACGAGTACCAAGTCTAGACCAAATGGTACAAGCTACCTAGAGAATGTATGTACGGGCGTGGTCGTCATACATCGGCGACGTCAAAACTCACCACCAGCTGTGCTCCTCCTCGACGAAATATCTCAGTGAAAAAATTGAGTCAACGCCCGGGAATCACCACCCCACACTGTTACGCAACACACGGTACAGCAGTCGGAACGGCATCGATCGATGTTCCTTGAAAATGAGTGGAGATTGACCTCACGCGACGCCAATACTCACCACCGGCTGTGCTCCTCCTCGGTGAAATATCTCAGTGGAAAATTTCAGTCAACGCCCGGAAATCACCACCCCACACTGCTATGCAACACACGGTACAGCAGTCGGAACGGCATCGATCGGTGTTCCTTGAAAATGCGTGTGAAGATTTACCGACCACGACCGTACTATTAATTATGTCCAGACCAGACCTACATGTTTGTATGTCTTGTTTTCCTGTCGTTTTAGATGTTGGCCTTCACACCCACACACACCACCTCTCAAACTCTCACAAGTGTCCGCTACCGCTATGAATTCATCACCAATAATTTACCCCGGACTCTTACTACAGGGTATCATATCTGGTTGCGTGTTGAAACGTGGAGACATGAGATCGTGATCTTTGTGTACCTTGACCTGCGGAGCAATCTCGGAATCTCGGAATCTCGGGGAACAAATTCCGCCGCATTTGCGCGAGACGTTTTTCGTCTGATGGACTAATGCTGCATGTTTGGGGAGCAATGGGCCCTGTGCCCAGCTGCGCCGCTGTTACTAAACGGGGAGAGGGGGTCTTGCATTGGTGATGGAGGCACACAACAGTTCAGAAGGCAGCTTAAGTGAGACTTCAGAGGTGGTTCACTCGCGCATCTTGAGTCTGAGAAAGGGTGGCAACGACCACGGCGCCGTCGTTGCAGCGGAAGAGAGCCTAAACCGGTCGGTCGACTCTCACGGTCCCTCGTCAGCGGAGACCCGCAAAGTCGCAGCAGACCTTGTCTTAGCCTACAACCACCTCGCCATGAAAAGACTGTCGGAGAACAACATCAAGGTGTGCCTGTTTGTGTAGTAGTCTAGACCGCACACGCAGGCGAACAAAGATCTTACAACATGCCGACCTACGAACGGGCGGCGATCATGATGCATGCATTCGATCTGTACCTCGCGCAACATACGTATGGGGTCGAGTTCACGGGCGTGCATGTATGTACGCACACAGCTATGTACCTCTCTGTAGCGTTTCCTTACCTACTAGCTTGAACAGTATGCTACAGGTTCTGACTACCGTGGGTTGCGTAAGATATCACACCTCCCCTGCTCCAGCTCGATTTCTCCATGAATAAGAGTACGCCAAACAAGAAAGGATACCACGTTATAGGCAAGCTCTCGAGGAGAACATTCACCAACGCCGCTGTTGTAGGAGCCGTCGCTGTTTTAGCTATAGAATAATCAAACTCTGGAAATTGGTAGGTCCCGGGGCGTGTGGGTCTTACGCAACCAATGCATACGGCACTGCCGTACATGCACACAAGACAGACAGATGAAAACAACGGCTATCTATGGACTGTACGCAGCGTCCTCCCGCATGTAAACGTAGGAAATCCTCCAGCCCCCGGGTGGTTCGGCAAAGTCCAACCGCATTCCCCTTCCACCAAACATTCACAAATCAATGATTCAGGCCTCAGGTCGCCTTCTGCAGAAAGCCTCACTGCTGACCAGCCGGGGGCAGCCTTTTCTTGGCAAGGCAAGGCTTCAGGCTCGCGCGTTGACGCTCAACAACCTCGGCTGCCTGATGAAGAAGTGGGGAAAGCCACGCGAAAGCGTCAAGTTTCTCGCCCGCGCTCTTAGAATAGAAGCCAAGGTGCCCGGGGGCGCGGACAACCCCGCCGGCACGCATGTGAACATGAGCGCCGCTTTGTCGACCATTGGGCTGCACCGGGAAGCCGCTACGCACGCCGGTCACGCCATTGAACTCGCATCCCAAGCGATGATGGAGCAAAAAGCAGCGTTCTCCTACGTCACAGGCCCAAATACCGCGAGTGGTGACCTAGCGGGCATGGAGGAGGACGGTGCTGCTGCATCGGTTGATCTTACTGCTGACGACAGTGGGAGAAAGGGTGGTGTCGGGTGTAGCGATACTAGCGTTCCAAGTGTAGGGGTCACAGGACGTCTGGAAAGCAGCAGCGTTCCTCGGCCGGAAGTCCACGGGGAAGACGGGGAGACAGTTTGTTCTTCGGCCGTGGCGGATGATGGGCGTACATGTAGTCCTGAAGCATCCTCGTCAGTCCACGACGCGGACCATGACGTGCCAGAAGGTGGAACAACAGCGAACCCCGCCGAAAACGGTACGGGAGGCCAAGGAGGAGGAGGAGGAGGAGGAGGAGAGTCTACAGGGGCCGAAAAGAGCGTTCAAGGAGACGCGAGCTCGGTCGACAGGCAAGACCGACACCAATCGGCGGCGGGAGGGCTCCTCGCCATCGCCTGTTTCAACCTTGGGGTCGAGAGGGAGCACCTTGGTCAGCTGGACGCGGCAATCGCCTCGTACAAGGACGCGCGCTCGGCGGCCGACCAGCACCTTGGGCCGGAGAGTCCCGTCGCGAAGGGGATTGAAATCGCGCTCGAGAAAGCCTCCGCCGCCGCCTCCGCCGCCGCCTCCTACTCCCGTAAGCGCGCGGCTTCACGCTCCCGAGTAGCGGTGGCGTCCTTCCCTTGCATAGGCAAGCTCAAGTTCGGCCACAAAAACTCGCAAGTGCCGTCACGCTTCGGCGGCGTGGGCCTTTCTCCGCGATGCCGGTCACAGCAGCAGCACGGCGAGGAAATCGTTGGCGAAGCAACGGCAAGGGACCTCCTCGAACTCGCGTACACCAGCCCTCGTCCGTGCCCTGCCCCACCTCACAAAGACTCATGGGCACGCCTCGGCCGCGTACCGACCCCTCGATTGGCCCCTCCAGGACGGTCGGCATCGCGTGGCCCTCAGCGGGCGGGGAGATGGACGAGCGTCGACACCCCGGCGGCGCGGGCTATGAAGGAAGCGCAGCGGCGGTCGGAAGGGTGGAGGAACGGCGGCAGGCAGCGTGACGACGTCGACGGGAATTTGAGGTGGCGGGCCTTAGCTTGTGCTGAGTGGCAGTGCAGTCCGAGGGAGGCACTGCACGCCCAGCGGCAGGTTGCGGAGCAACACGGGGTGGATGTTGGGATGGCTGCGCCAACAAGCGATGCTACATAGCAAGTTAGCTAAGCTCCTTGTTTATGCCGAGGTTCCAGTTCGTCATACACCCGATGATCTGACTGATAGACATTCTAGGGGGGGATGAGGGAGGGATGGATCGGTGTGGTTTTGGAGACTGACTTTCTCTCGCTCTGGTTAATATCTTGGGATGATTTCGCCATTTGTTGTCTTCCTCTCCTCGCCTGCTTTGTAAGCCATCATCGTGCTTGTGGGCTGGGGGATCCGCACATGGTATTATTCATGACGTGGGCGTATGGATAGAAGCGTGGAGGTTACAACACTGTTATTGTTTTTGGTTCTAGATGGGTCCCGAGGTATTATATTATGTCATGTTTTGAAGCTGTTGTGCCCACTTTGGGATGTGTCGTCCTCGGATGCACCTGCTGTAGTCGAAGTAGCGTTTGGGCAGAGAACTTATCGGCCACACCAGGGCTAGAAGAGCTCAGTTCCTTGCTACAACAACGAGCCACTAACAACGACAAGCCTTGCTTTAACGTCGGGGAATCGGTCGCGCTGTTTTGACGGGCGGGCGGGCGGGCGGGCGGGCTAGAAGAAAGTGCATTTGCACCATGTACAAGCGAGTATTGTAACCTTCTCCTTCACTGCGGAAAGACGTTCAAACGCACAACCAAACGATGTAGCCCCGGTGCTCGAAAGACATGAAAACGCTTCTCTTGGACCTACCCGAAGCGAGCCGCTTCGGCCAAGCGGGTGGCTGGCCGAAGGTGCGTCTGTTCGGTGAAGTACCCCCGTTACCGTCGCCCAGCGCCACGCTTACATATCATTCAGCATCTACGAAGGTCTCCTGCGGGGGAACTTGTATTCTAAAACACGACAGTTCATGCTCGCGGGTGTCAGCCGGCGTTGCGGTGCGAACAGTCAAGCAAAGGCATACTCCTGTGTAGCCTCGCGGCAACGAACTGCGTCAGAGAGAACTCTATGCCGCAAACAAGTGCGCGACAGCATCGGGTTCGACTCTTGCCCGTTGAACTGAAAACCAAATGGTGCTACAATGAACAAACCAACGGGATCCCGCACGACCTTCAAAATCTCTCGTCACCATTGCTGTTACATGTCTTTTTACAGACGCTGTGCCGGAACATCACGATTCGACATGCCGCCGGACAGTCACATGGTCACTCAGTCTGCGAGAACAGCTCGCGAGGACAAAGAAGAAACACCGTGTATCGGCGCAAAAAATGCCAACATGGTAGAGAAAAAGTGCCTTCAAATGAGCAGCAGCACGTTGCCGAACGGATCTCGATCACCCTACAAAAAGTCGACCCGCTGAACACCTTTCTTTTGCTCTAGCCAACACAACACAATAGTAGTAGTGGATATGCCGTATACTGTGGGGCAGGCATTGCGTGGCAGGCGTGGGAGGTTGCCAAGATTAGACAGCAGTGCATGTGTTTTTCGGCGACATAGGAACACGCCAGCTTAAACGAGAAGACTTCATTCTTCACTGAACACATTTTCCAACCGATACACCCCAACTCGCCTCCAGTATGCATAGACCGTGCAGCCTGTCACGTGCGTGAACACCGGTGTCAACGGTCCTTCCGCCAAAACAACTGATAATCGACAAAGAGCAAATCGACAAAGAACAAATACGTTCGCGTTGAGCGTTAATACCTGCTGCAGAGACCAACCTCCTCCGCCCCCCGCCCCTCCCCGCCAAAGTCAATATGATTGATGATTCATGCGCACCAAGCAGGCCCTGCGAGCTAGCCGCCTACCGATTTCGGTAAGACGGAAATAAGCGGCATCGGCTACCACTGGCTGCAAAGCACACCCATCAGCGCATCGGACTTTTCCAATGCAAACAAAATCGCCGCAATGTATGTATATCTCCCACCCCAATCGAACAAATCTGTACACGCCGCTCATTGGTCGGTTGGCAACTTCGGTTGGGCGGGGGTGTCGGCGTTGAGCAACTGTTCCCCCGCCACAAGCCACAACCAACAGCATCGATCGATCTCGAGCACCCGAGATTTGTACGCACGGAGTGGCCACACCAAGATTGGCCTCGAACAAAACTGCGGCACCAAAAGTGAGGCCGCAACCAACCCCCCTACCCCACCCCACCCAACCCTCCCGCCTGTTGGGGTCCCCTTCGCTAAGGATTCCACCGACTCCTTCCTACCCTGTTAAGAACTTCAGTTCCCCCAGTATATAGCGGCCCAATACCATTCATTATCCCTACAGGCGTAAAAACCCATGCATAAACTACACTGATTGCTGTTCGAGAGACCACTGCTGTAGACACAAACGTGCACAAGGGCGAAAGGCCCTCTCCTGTCCATCATCCAGTTCAGAACTCGAGCTCTGCCTCCTCGTCGCTCTCGCCGTCCGCAACCGCCGCGGAGGCGCCCCCCAAGTTGCCTCCGAGCTCCCCATCCTCGTCTGAATCGTCATCATCGTCGTCGTCTGCCGCGCCCCCCACGAACTTGCCAATCTCTGACGCCGTGCGGCGCTGAGAGGCAATCGCGGCCTTACGGCGAGCACGGGGGTAGATGACGTTCCCCTTGAGCGCAGAGAGTTCGTCTGTTCGGACAGGCAAGAGAGGTAGGGGGTTGACGGGGGGGGGGGGGGGGGGGGGGGGGGG